AGAGTGCTCCAACACTGGAGGCATTCAAGAGAAATTTAGACACCCATCTGGCAAATATCCTTTGATTTGTATTGATGGCCTTATAGGCCCCTTCCAACTTAATTTGCTAAAAAAGGGCCCTTCTTTTCCCACATGCAGGGCACTTTCTATGATTAATGCAAGATAAGTACTGTGGAATTGTGCCCCCCCCCTTTAAACTATTAAAATGTAAGTCTCACTCACTGAAAAGACTCAGAACATTGATGGACTGAAAATTAATTCATATGGATAATTTTTGCACATTTCTGTTCCCATTCCACCCTTGCCCAACTGTATGAGAAAATCTCTCTGCTGTAGGAGGGTAGTTGACATCATATCCTTTGCAACTTGAAGGTCCTATTCTAACCATCAAACTAACCTCATTCACTGTGCCTTTTCAGAAGATGACTTGTGCAAAAAGGGAGAATATGGCCAAAAATCCTTCTTTTCTCTGGTTTTCTGGACTGATTTTATGTGAGTATGCTGTGGTCTTTTTTCCTTATTATTATTATAGTATATCATAACAGAAAACAAAATAATTATTCAAAGGTGCTTGGGAGCTCCAGCTGTGTCCTCCTAAATTTTTTAATTTCCTTTTATTCAATATCAAATGTTGTTCTGTCACAAGAAACCTTTAGAAATTCTTGAAAGTTTCAATGTAGTTTTCATATGTAGCAGGATATAGTTGACGAAAACAAATTGAAAACTGTGTGAATCTTCCTAAATAGTTCTAGAATTCTGCACCTAACCTGAATAAAGCTATCTGGAGAAAAGCCCAACTAGACTGAAAAAATGAGGGAAAACATTGATTATTTGTATTAAAGGGAAACAAGCAAATAGAATGAATGCATCCAGAATTAAAGAGTTTGTTCAGTTTTTTGCAACAGACTAACAAGTTACTGAAAATTAAAAACCAAACAAGTATTTTTAAAAAATCTTTGAAAAGCAAATGAATTAAATATCTGACCATGATGACAAACAGCTGCTCCTTTGCTATATGAACAATATATTAAGAAGAAGTTCATTTTGAAGGAAATTGAAAGGTGATGTACTATTAGGCTGACCAAAAAACCTTATGGAGGCCCATGAGTTTACAAGAGGGCTTCCAGTTTGGGAAAATGTAGAAGACTGAAGTTCTGTTTAAATCTAAAATAGATCGGCTTCTGAGGAATAATGGACTAAATCCTATCTGGCGGCATAACCCATATATTAAGAAGAAGTTCATTTTGAAGGAAATTGAAAGGTGATGTACTATTAGGCTGACCAAAAAACCTTATGGAGGCCCATGAGTTTACAAGAGGGCTTCCAGTTTGGGAAAATGTAGAAGACTGAAGTTCTGTTTAAATCTAAAATAGATCGGCTTCTGAGGAATAATGGACTAAATCCTATCCGGCGGCATAACCCAGATTGGGCACCAGAAACATTTAATTTAAAATTATGGAAAGTTTCCTTTTCTTTCCCCACCCATTTCAAGTTCCAAGGCTCCCCAGGCCTCCCTTTGCTTTAGGAAAGCATTTGGGAGCCTCAGGATGCAGGGCGGGAGGGAGCCTTTCATAATTAAAAACAAATTCTGCTCAATTGCCGCAGTCAGGATCAAAACTGCCAGTGGCAATCCAGCTATGATTTTAAAAAAAAGATTAAAGTCTTCCCCCATCCCACCACCTGCATTTTGAGGCTCCCAAAGGCTTCCCCAGGGCAAAAGGGAGCTTTTGGGAATCTCAGGACTTGGAGATGGAGGCGGGGGGGGGGGAGGGAATATAAAGCTTTCAATTTAAATTAAATGTTTCCAGCATGCAAAATCGGTTACACCAATGTGTAACCTGCAGCAACATGCAACATGTACCATGCAGCAAGATTTTGCCTAATGTTTTGTGTCGATTTAAAGCTTTTTGTTTTTAAGCTCTCTAATGTTTAGTACCGTATATTGTAATATTTGGCTTATACCCAACAGGATAGATGTAGACACGCTGAAGCTTCAAACACACTTATTTTTTTAGCAGATTGGGGCTCATAAGACTGAAATGGTTGTTTCACATTTTTAAAATGGTATGTATGTGTAATTTAGTCTGATGAATATATTTTAAGGAAATATCCTAAGAATATGGCCCACATAGATTTCTGACAATGTGTAAGTATAATCATTGGTTGCAAACAAAGCAAGGATGTGTGGGTGCACTTCCATAGGATGACCAGTTAGAATTCTGTAGAAATCTGGCTTGCTGGAGACAGAATCTGATGGATGCTGACCAATCCCTCTCCCTATGAGTAGGAACAATTGAACAAACTATAGACCTTCAACTTCATGGATTGTTTGTCATGATGTCTGAATCTGACAACTTTGTTGTTCTCTCTCCCGACAAGCCAAATAAAAATCCTAAAACAAACCATTATTTCTTTGGCATCTCAGGAAAAAAGCAAACCTGATAAACAGGTTACATATAATAGTAAATGTATAACTTAGGAGTCTTATGATTCATTTGATAAGAATACAGAGTCAGCCACCAGCACTGCAGATGGAGAAACTGTGCTTCCCACAAGCATTGTTGAAAAAAAGAGGCTTTCTGTGTGCAAGGCAAGTTACAACCTTTCAGAGCATGAACAAGCCCTGTTTAGCACACGCTAAGATTTTTGCAGGCAAATGAGGATTGTATTTTTATTGTCCAGGTCAAACGCAAACCAAGTGGTGTACGGTTATTTATTTATTTGTTTCTTTCTTTCTTTGTTTGTTTCTTTGTTTTTTTGTTTTTTATTTATTGAGCATGCCACTGCTCTGGGCAACTATAGCTTTTATTTGGATTTTTATTAAAGTTAATGTTCTGGGATCCTTACTCTTTATTTTGTACATCAGTTCTTGCTTGCTTGATTCTCTATTCATACCAGAGCATTGCACAATTTAAAATATTGACATATATGAAATGTAGCTAACATTAAAAACAAATTAAAATGTTGAGATAATTAAATTATTATTGACCAGACATAGACTACTTCAATAGTCTATTGCCATTCACTACTTTTTCTTTTGTATACACGGTGGGACATAAATTGCATGCGCATAAGTGCCCCATTGATTTTCTCCACAGTCACAAAAAAATTGTCCTGTATTCAAGTAGCCTCATTTTACTTGATTATTCTTTGATCTTCCTACTTCACTTTGAAATCTATTAAATGACTTCCAGATGATCCAACTAGAGTCTTGTCCTGATGAGAGCATTTATCTGTTCGGCAAGGTGTGTTCTCTTTGTTCTCCATGGATTTAGCCTAGCCCCTTTGCGTTTAATATTTAGAGCCTGAGGTGTATGCAGAAAACATTTCCTCAGTTTTAGCCAGGCTAGTGTCTATGACATGGATGGGTTTGGTGCTATATTACATTATTATTTTTTTCATTATTTGCTAGCACCTCTCCATGTATTTCAGGAGGGGCAATGCTCCTGAAATAATACCCTTTTTCATTGGGAATAGGTTTCAGGCCTCCAGTAATAATCCCACATGATTCTTTAACAGCTGCATCCACTTGTTTGGCATGTGCTGATTTATACCATTTGGCACTAGAATATTCTGTAGTAGCATAGGGACAAAGCTGTTATTCTTATTGTTTGTGGGTGTGTTCCCCAGTCTGACCCAGCCAGTTTCCTATGTATGTTATTTTTGGTGGCAACTTTCTGTTTGGTGTTAACATGGTATTTTTTATAGGCAAGGTTCACTCCAGAGTAATACCCAATACTTTTGGGGTAGCACAACTTTCCAAATTCTTGCCTTCTCAGCTGACTCAGATCTTCATACCAGAGCATTGCACAATTTAAAATATTGACATATATGAAATGTAGCTAACTTGAAAAAACAAATTAAAATGTTGAGATAATTAAATTATTATTGACCAGACATAGACTACTTCAATAGTCTATTGCCATTCACTACTTTTTCTTTTGTATACACGGTGGGACATAAATTGCATGCGCATAAGTGCCCCATTGATTTTCTCCACAGTCACAAAAAAATTGTCCTGTATTCAAGTAGCCTCATTTTACTTGATTATTCTTTGATCTTCCTACTTCACTTTGAAATCTATTAAATGACTTCCAGATGATCCAACTAGAGTCTTGTCCTGATGAGAGCATTTATCTGTTCGGCAAGGTGTGTTCTCTTTGTTCTCCATGGATTTAGCCTAGCCCCTTTGCGTTTAATATTTAGAGCCTGAGGTGTATGCAGAAAACATTTCCTCAGTTTTAGCCAGGCTAGTGTCTATGACATGGATGGGTTTGGTGCTATATTACATTATTATTTTTTTCATTATTTGCTAGCACCTCTCCATGTATTTCAGGAGGGGCAATGCTCCTGAAATAATACCCTTTTTCATTGGGAATAGGTTTCAGGCCTCCAGTAATAATCCCACATGATTCTTTAACATACCATGCATACAATGTATATCCCTGCAGCATATAAGGTAATAATAAAATGCAGTAACACAAATAAGGAAATAATAAAACAAGGCTAACAAACCAACAAATGAGCCAAAAGATGTTCAGAGGTAAAGAGTTGTTTTAATATAATGAATAACCTAATGTTGAAAGTTTAGTGGATCTAGGCCAGGGGTTATCAAAGTGTACTCCTCCAGATGTTCTGGACTGCAATTCCCATCCAGCATATTCAGTGGTGAAGGATGCTAGTGTTATGAGTGGCAAAGTATGACAGAGTGTCTGTGGGTTCCAGAAAGACCAGCACCCCAGACCTGGGAAGAAGATGGAGAAATCGCAAGGGAAGATGGGATAGTGTGCTTAATACAGAGCTTCAAAAGAAGATGCAAGTTGCAGACAGAGACAGTATTTTTATGAATAAGAGACTGCTGTATGGGCAAAGGTTTGGATTTTTGCAGTTGTTGTGTCCAGACAAGAGGGAAGTGAACTGGAGTAAGAAGTCCAAATATAAGTAAAACTGGAGAAAGCAAGCTTAAGAAAGAGGAAGCAGCCTAGCTGAAGCCGAGTCTGTGGCAGATGGAACAAACTGTACATGTGAAAGGAAGTATTCCTGCATGACAACAGATCGTATCTGCTCAGGAAGCCAAGGTCTGCCTCCCCGTATGCTTGTGCCAGCCCAGGTTTGAGAACCAGCCCATTAACACAACCCACAAGGAAAAGACCTATAAGAAGGATGACCCAGGAAGAAACAGGTGGGCTTCAGAACAGCGCTGGAACGACCCCCATCACCTTTTCTGAGGATTGATCACCCTCAGAGAAGGGCCTTCTGGATGAGTGAGTATCTTGTGTGAATGGGACGTATGAAAGAGTGGCCTCTTAGTACCTTTTGGTTTATATCCTATGTCTTATGTCTCATCAATAAATGTTACATGAATAGCGCTTAAACCAAAATTATTGGTGCATGGTCTTCTTGTCGGTAGTATGGCTGGGCTCTCTCTCTCTCTCTCTCCTCTCATGGCCCCTCTCCTCAGGATATAAAGAACAGGAAGCCATTTGGGGCAACACTAGGAGATGCCATTCCTCCAATCTGTAAGGTCGCACTTCACCTACCCCTGATCTAGGTGGTGCGCCCTACTGCCCATCTGCCAGTAGGTGAGCATTGCATCCATTCATTGTTGTATCTCAGGAGATGCCCATTAGCAAGCAGACATAGTAATGTGATATCCGGATTGCTGAGAATATGCTTCAGAGTCTTGGGTAGGAATGAGTAAATAGGCTAACTGGACTGGTCTTCCTTCTCTAGGCTGCTTCTTGTTCCAAGAAATCAGCATGGAAACCAGTATGGAAATCAGCATGATCAGCACAGCACCTGTTGCCTTGAATACTGCAGTGGAACTGAAGTGTATCAACAAAAAGCATGATACAGGGGTGTACTGGTTTCTTCAGAAAAAGGACTATACCACTCACTTCATCTTATATATCTCTGTACTGTCCAAAATATCAGGCAACGCTAGAGGCTATCAGACATCCAAAAATGGTGACTATTACAAGCTAACTATTACCAGCTTTAAAGAGGAGCACCAGGGCATCTACTACTGCCTTTCCTTTCGCAATCAGGGGTTGTATTTCAGTTCGGGCCTTCAGGTCTACCTGCCAGGTAAGATCCATCATGAGATTTTCATGCGTGCTGCAAGTGGCAAACTTCTGTGCCCATTGGCTGCTGGGCAGGCTGTTTTGTCTATCTTGGGGCTCATTTTTTTAAAGAACATTAGGATATCTTTACCCCTCTTATTTTCTTGCCCTTAGCTGATTGTTATTCTTGATCGCAACAATTTTACGTTTTCTCCACTCACATGTGGCTCATGAGTCGAGCAGTCCCTCTCCAGAAAGATTAGGTTAGGAGCCTCCAGGCTCAATCACCCGTCCTACGTCCACCTCCTACACTATTAGATCAGTTTGTTTTCCACCCTGTTTGACTGTTATCATGTGCTATCAGGTCACTTTTAGCATTTTCAGGGTATGTGAGGTGTTCAAGGTGTGGTTTTCCATTGCCACCCCCTGGGTCTTTCCCTGACTGAGGAGGGATTTGAACCCAGATGGTCTGAGCCCTGTTCTGACACTATACTACGTTGGCTCTCTATTCACTCCATACCAGGGGATAAAGGTTCCCCTTGACAATTTTTGCCCAGTCGTGTTCGACTCTAGGGGGCAGTGCTCATCCCCGTTTCCAAGCCATAGAGCCAGGGTTTTGTCCGAAGACAATCTTCCGTGGTCACATGGCCAGTGCGACTTAGACACGGAACGCTGTTACCTTCCCATCGAAGTGATCCCTATTTATCTACTCGCATTTGCATGCTTTCGAACCGCTAGGTTGGCGGGAGCTGGGACAAGTGACAGGCGCTCACTCCGTCGCATGGATTCGATCTTACGACTGCTTGGTCTTCTGACCCTGCAGCACAGGCTTCTGCGGTTTAGCCCACAGCACCACCACGCCCCTTTCATTCCATACCAGGCAGCAAAAGCATTCCTGCCTTTCTAACAAGGAATGGCCTTTGAAACTGATCAGAAAGGACAGGTCTGTGTTGGTTTCCCTGTTTGATCCAAGAATAAGTGCTCTTATTAGGCAAGGATTTTGAAAGGCTCCTTTCTAGGTTATTGGCTTTTCTCACTCCAGATGTGGGACAGATGTGCTGGCACACTGTTTTCTTGTTCCTTATATCCTGGCCATGAATCGGAACTCCAGTGGGAAGAAGATGACTTACAAATCCTTCTTCAAGCCCTAAGGTATATGAACAGATATAAACAAGCTCCATATTTATTTTGTTCACAGAGAGAACCACCAAGCCTCCTACTGTCCCAGTCCAAGTGCCAACCCACAGCAAAGGAAAAGACATGGGATATCCAGTTCCTCCCACCACAGGTATGCTGCCTTCACCTCTTTTCACATTTTGGACCATAGCCAACTTAAAACCATAAACAACATGTAAGATAATTTCATAACTATGGAAAATTCCAAGATATATTCTGAACATGCACCCCAAAACAGTTTGCAGATCTGGGCATGTAGCCTGTACCCCAGAAGAAGCAAGTTGGGAAGCAAGTGAGGTGTGGTTCACAAAGGCTCATACAAAAAAAACTTATTAATCTAAAGGTGCAATAAGACTCTTTGTTTGTTTTGCTGGAGCAGACCAGTATGGCTCTACTTCTGGAGGGTGGGTGTGGAACTGAGAGACGGAAAGTCTTAATCAGGTGTTAATGTATAAGCTCATACATGTTCTCAGAATATACACTTATCAGGAAACTTTGAATTTTGGTAACTGCCCATCCTAGGAAATTGATCCTTGTAATTTGTTCATCCAAGACCTAATCCTTTCAATGTTGTTTTTATTGAACACACCTCCATCAACCAAGCACCGATAGCAAAGACCAATTCAAATAGTACACGGAGCACAGGATCACACAATAATCCCACAATGAATGAATGACCACAAAGAGCACTCCTCACTGACTTCCAGGCCCTTTTACAGATCCAAAATTCCCACTCCCCCAGATATTGAATGAAAAAATTCTCAGGCAATGTAGCAAAAGGTATTAGAGAATAATTCAAAAGAAGCACAAAACTTCCAAGTATTTTTTTCTTTGCCTGCCTTTGTATTGCTAAACATGAAATTGCAGCCATGGTTTCAATCAGCAATACGCAGACAAAGAAAAAATGTTTTTAATCCAAATGAAGTGATTTGTCACACCAGCAATGATCTGGCAGATGTAAAAAATAATAATTTCACTTCCTCTGATGCTCCAACATGTGATCAGGCGAAGGTTCAATTTCCGATACCAGAAACAGAGACTGGAAGGAGCTTCAAGGCTCTACTTTAGTCTATTCCAAGTGACCACACTCACTGGGAATGGACTAAACTGGAACCCTCCCACCCAGACTAAAATATAAAGGTTAAAAAAGGTGTGGGTTGGGCCAGATTCATCAGTTCCAACAATGTCCATGTGTGGATACTAGAAAAAAGAGTTGTCCACCAAATCCTCATGTTGACAATCTCTTCTGTTATAGTGAACAGAGTAATAAAGTGTTGTTGTTCTTGAATTAATCTCTCCCGAAATATGCAAATGGGCAATAGATAAGAGGATTTAAAGCAGAAGAGTTCAGTTTGCAAGGAACAGTCTTCCAAAGATAGATCAAAGTTTTCAATCTTCCCTTGGCCCTGACCAAACAGAAACTGGAGAAATCTCATGTATCTTTAATTGAATTTAGCCATAGGCCATCACAATAAAATACAGCAAAACATAGGGAAATAAAACCAAAAAAATGAGCACAATATCAAAATTACAATTTAAATTAAATTCTAAATGCCTCTATTGTAAATCTGCCTGTATTGTAAATTTGTACAACAAAAACTGAAATGAGATCTAAAAGGAATATAAGATTTTTTTTAAAGTAGGATTCAAAACAGGACTCTATTTTACACTGCAAGTATCATTTTCACAAATGAACGGCCCAACATCTTAGCTACCATACGATTCAAAACAGGACTCTATTTTACACTGCGAGTATCATTTTCACAAATGAATGGCCCAACATCTTAGCTACCATAGCTCCTGGATTCATCCCTGAGCCTGGATGACCAGGTCTTGGTGGAGGCCAGGAGTATATTTGCACATGAAAACCAGTGTGCCAGCTATGTCCATTTCTTGAGAGATCAGATCTGCACATGAAAACCAGTGTGCCAGCTATGTTCATTTCTTTAGAGATCAGATTTGGCCTCTGTGATACGTGGTCTAGTTAAATCTCAGCTGGATTACTATAATGCACTCTATGCAAGGCTGCCAATGGAAAGTGTCAAGAAACCTCAACATGTCCAAAATGCCACAGCCAGATTGCTGACTGCGGACGCACCTGGAAGTGAAAGGAAAGTCTGATGCTACAAAGAAAAATACTGCATAGGAACCTGGAATGTAAGATCTATGAACCTTGTTAAGCTGGATGTGGTCAAACAGGAGATGGAAGGAATAAACATTGACATCCTGGGCATCAGTGAACTAAAATGGACAGGAATGATGATGATTACCATATCAGATGATTACCATATCTACTACTGTGGGTAAGAATTCCATAGAAGGAATGGAGTAGCCCTCATAGTCAACAAAAGAGTGGGAAAAGTTGTACTGGGATACAATCTCAAAAATGATACAATGATTTCAGTACGAATCCAAGGCAGACCTTTCAACCTCACGGTAATCCAAGTTTATGCACCAAACACTGATACTGAAGAGGCTGAAACTGACCAATTCTATGAAGACTTAAAACACCTTCTAGAACTGACACCAAAGAAAGATCATCTTCTCATTATAGGGGACTGCAATGCTAAAGTAGGGAGTCAAGACTTAAAAGGAACAACAGGTAAGTTTGGCCTTGGAGTTCAAAATGAAGCAGGGCAAAAGCTAATAGAGTTTTGCCAAGAGAACAAGCTGGTCATCACAAACA